TCTCTGTCTGTCTGTCTGTCTGTCTGTCTGTCTCTCTAGTTGTGTAATAAGTGGGATAATGTAAAGTCAGCTTTCACTTTGCATCAGGGTTCTCATCACACTTTCGGATTTATTTTGCAATAATATGCAAAATAACATGGGGAAAAAAACAACAACTTTTACATGAATTAATGCAGCCAAAAATTACAACATAAAAGTTCTAATACAGTCGATTATAATTTGGCTTGTTGCTTTCTTGATTTTGATCTTGGAAATCCTTTTCAAATGGTTTTATCTGAATTTAAAAAAATGAATTATAGCCTTGCACCATTAGAGTGTGTGTTCAGAAAGCCAACCTGTATGATCACACATCCATTCTCATGATATTCTGTGTGTGAAAGGGAGACAGGGCAAAGTGTTGTGAATTTCCTTTAGTAAGGTAGTTGTTGCTGTTGAGATGCTCTGCCTTCAGTTTTGGGGAGGTGAAGGGATGTGATGTTAATTGCCGGCAGTTTGCTGCTGAAATGTGCTGGCCACATGCTGCCACTCACTCACCCCCTCAACAAAGACACAATTATTCAGAGAGAGAGAGAGAGAGAGAGTGGGGGCGAACACACTCTACCAGATCTACCCAGCACTCACTGTTTTACTATTTCTGTTTATTTCTCTCTCTCTCTTTCTCTCCATGTATAGAGAAATAAATATAAAAGGTATTTATTTATTTTGCTGTGAAATAACTTTTTATCCCCCAAAGTGTGTAATTCAAGAAGTATTCAAGAACACAGTCAAAATGTAGTTATTGTGATAATGAAATAAATCAAACTTAGCAATTCTGTCAATATTTTTTGCTACTTAAGATTAAAATATTAGACACTTTTAAAACATATTTTTCTTAATGCTCGTGTTTGTGAGGCAGTGCGTTCAACTTTAGTCTGATAGTGCAGTCTTTTTTAAGTGCATTAAAATCATGATATTAGCTTGTTGCCACCATTTTTTTTTAATCGCCACCAGCATCAGCAGAAATATATTGTAAATATGATCTTTTCTGTCTCTCTCTTCAGTCAGTGACTAACTACTAGTCAGTAGTTTTGCAAGTATTTGTTTCCTCTGATTACCAGAGTAAACATGCATTTAGCTTAATTTTCACCACTGATGCATTCAGCATATGTAATCAGTGTTTTCATGAAGGTTTGTCTGGTGTCAGTGCCTTCCTACTATATTTTACCAATTGAAAACTTTCAAGACTCTCACGAGTTGACTTTTCATAATTGTCTGCTCTGCAGCGGAGGACCCGACTGAAAACTATGTGAAGCTGAGAGATTTTGTGCTGGTGAAGCTGTGCTTGACTCTTTCGTCCTTCTCCAGTGAGAAACTCTCTCAGGGCTTCAGTGAAGAGATGGTGTCTGAGGCCAGAGAGAAACTCAAGATCAACAAGGTAACATCTCTTGCAGGTTTACTTGCTTTATTATTTCTGTCCATTTTCATTAATAGCTATAGTCAAGAAAAGACATTAGGAGAACAGATGGGAATTAAATTTTTGTAGGCGTTAAAAGTCACAAGCTGGATTCAAACCTGCATTGCACCACAGCTCAGTGTGTTATACATTGAATAGATATTTTAGAGTTTTAATGATTTTAATGTTTTATTTTGCTATTAAAGGGTTAGTTCACCCAAAAAATGAAAATTAGCCCATAAATTACTCACCCTCAAGTCATCCTAGGTGTATATGACTTTCTTCTTTCAGACGAATCCAGTCGAAGTTATATTAAAAATGGTCTTTGATCTTTCAAGCTGTTTCATGGCAGTCAGCGGGTGTTGCAGTGCTTCAGTCCAAAAGAAGTTAAATAAAAAGTGCCCATCCATTAAAAAAGTGTCTCTCACGGCTCCGGGGGGTGAACAAAGTCTTTCTGTAGCGAATCCATGCGTTTTTGTAGGAAAAATATCCATATTCAAAACGTAGTAATCACTTTAATGTAGCTTGCGCCAACAGTCCTACACGGAAGCAGCTCCGGGCGGATGACATATGAGGTCATATTTATGGATGGGCACATTTTATTTCACTTCTTTTGGACGGATGCATGCAACACCCGCTGAGTGCCATGAAACAGCTTGAAAGATCAAAGACCATTTTTAATATAACTCCGACTGGATTCGTCTGAAAGAAGAAAGTCATATACACCTAGGATGACTTGAGGGTGAGTTATTTATGGACTAATTTTAAATTTTGGGTGAACTAACCCTTTTAAGTTTCCTGGAGACCATCCCAGTAGGCTAGCTCACAAGAGAGTGACGACCAAGATATTTGAATAGCACCTGTTTTCAAACCTCATTAAATAGTTTGATTAATTTCAATGAATTTTGAACTCTTTGTTTCAGTCAAATTAGTGGTATGTGATTATCACGAAAAATGGCAGTTTCTATGCTTTGAAATATTTTATGTGTGCAGCACTGTTTATTTTACATGGTTATATTGGTGCATATCAGTTGAATTCATTAAATATCGTTCTATGTTTATTTATTGGGAAACTGAAAGTATGGTTATATATTTTTACTCTGTTTTTTTATTTTGAATATTTTTTCAGCTATTTTACCCAGCCCTTGTTTTGCCTTGTTTCTTTGAAGCTTTACTGTTGCTGTATACTGTAGATAAAAAGCCAAGCAATTAAACAGTTAATTCTTCAAAGAGTTTGTGCATTTATATATAGAGGTAATGACCTGGTTTTCAACTTGTAATGCCCCTAAAGGTAGGAGTGAACATTCGTTTCCTCTGGGGGCCGCTGGCCATTAGCAGGTAGTGAGTGGGAGTGGGCCTAACAGTGACCCCTGTGGGACTCCTCTCTCTCGCCACTCCAGCCACTCTTTAACTGCTCCAATTATAACCCAGCATCCCCTTTTATGCCCCACAATCCCCTCTGTTCATGTTGTTTGTGAGTGTTTATCTCAGGGTGGTGCCTATGGCATGGCCAGGCAAAATGCTTGGCTCTCCATACTACCCTAGTGGGAACTGCGTGAGGTATGGTGGACCTCTCGGAGTCATGGTTACTGAAGGAGTCATGGTTACAGATTCAGAATAGCACGGGAATCTCAGAGCAAGATGCTTTTAACCCAGAAAAATGGACAAGGTTAAAGAATCAATCTGTAATCGCTGCTCTTTGCGGTTACAAAACTGCATTATTCTCCATTGAGAGTTTGCATATGGACATTTGACGTTACACCTTATTGTAATGTTATATGCAACATAAGATTTCATGTTTGATCAATTAGAAACAAATAATTTCTCTGAAGTATAAAAAAGACTTCCAACAAAACTTAGGAAAGTTACCTACATAACACAGTGCATATTATTTCATGTGGTTAATTATGCATGATGTTCTTCTTTTGATTCAGGTTTTGACTTTTGCATTTGTGAATGTCACAGTTTATGCTTTATGGATAGCATCTGTGGCACACTGACAGTTTTTACGCTTTTCTTATGTAGCTGTGCTAGTTCTTAGATCTTGTATCACTCAATTCTCTCTTTATTTTCACATGTTTCAGTATTTCATGTCCATGTTGTATTTATTTGTTTGGGAAAACAGCATAATTGAATGAATTTTTCACAGTCGGGCTGGTCATTATCATAAAATAAACCCCCTCAGGGTGAGAGAAGGCCCCTCAGCTTTGTTTCCTAATTGCCCTATCTGTGTTTATTTTGCAAAAATGTTGGGCTTCCTGAACTCTACTCACTGGAATTACATTGGTAACACATAACCAGACTTTCAACTGAAAGTAGTTCCACTTCTAAAATACAGTATATTGACAATGTTCACATTTTGAATAAAACATTTTAGAATCCATGCAAGTGCAAGAAAATCTGAACCTCACATATTCTGCTCAAGATGCCACAGATGCTGTCCCCAAACTTTAGCTTGAAAAAGCTAGAATATTTATTAAAGGAACAAAGCTTTACAGTATGTCTCTTGTATGCTGTCTAACTTTCAGAAACATGCACGCCGTGTTTATGAAATCCTGCGCCTCCGAAACACAGACATGAGCGATGAAGAGAAAGCCAGAGAATTTCGTTTGGAGGTGAAAAAAAGACTCTATGGACCCTACAGAGTAAGTGTGTGTTTTATCTGCTCATGTTAGCTGTAGGTCCGTCCCTGTTTGTCTGCATTGACTGACTGCTTTTAAGAAGCAGAATGACTGCAATCGGACTCGGTACACGGAGTGCATTACCCATTAGGCGTGTAACTGCTACAACTCCCATGCAATGATTAGTCAGTCATAAAGTGCAGAGAGCGGAGCCTGAGCTTCGTGTGCTGAACATGGATTTCAAGAAACAACCAAACAAGTGAAGTCTTGCCAAAACAAACCCCGGTCACGACTGCCAAGATCGGCCTGCTTGTGTAACGTTCTCCAAACCGCACAGCTCAAACTACAACATGTGAAATGAAGCATTTCTGGACTTCAAAGAGAGCTGCACATTTCTAGCTGTGTTTATATGTGCTGTATAAAAATGAACAGAAACAACCCTTTCAGTGCTGCTGTTCTGATATTCTGCAGTCTTTGTCTGGTATAATTTATTCATAGTTTGCGCCGTTTCCTGTGTGATCCTCTCACGCGGTGTTAAGAACGAGAGGGACCCGAGGCCTCGGTCTGGGTTTGTTTGAGGGTATAATGGCTCACACCGGGCGGCAGCGGCAGCCGCAGTCTCCACATCCACACCACGAGCTCCATTCACAACAAGTGTCATTATTACAGATTTGCATCTGATTTAAGCGGAGCCATTTAGCAGGGAGAATGCAGCACCCAGTCACCTGCACACGGACGGACTCTCTCTAATCCGCTCTCTCTGCATGAAGACACACTACAGTTGTGTATCTCAGGACTGGAGCTGTGCAGTATCACTAAATTCTTTTGACCTCAATAGTCATCTTTCTGCAGGCTTGTGTATGTGTTATAGTTATAATTTGACACGCAGTATTTTAATGTCTTAAGTAGTAATCCTTAAGCTCACACAACCTCTGCGCTGGTTATCAGCAAAACAAAATCTGTGCATTATCTTACTGGCCAAAATATTTAAAGGAATACACTACTGTTTAAAAGTTTGGCCTCAGTAAGATTATTATTATTTTTTAATAAATTAAGACTTTTACTCCGCAACAATGCATTAATTGATCTGAAGTGACAGTGAAGACTTTTGTAATGTTAAAAAAAATGTGTATTTCAAATAAATTCTGTTTTTATATATTTTTAACATTTTTTGGAACTTACTATATTCATCAGTAAATTCTAAAAAAAAAAAAAAAAACAAGCACACGCAGCACAACCGTTTTCAACTGTGAAAAATAACACTTCAGTGGTGCTGTAGTAAAAATAGAGAATTATCATTTCATATATCATTATTTTGTTCAAAGTTTGAATTTCTTCAATATTTTTAGACATGTTTCTATAGTGAAAGCATATTGTTAATGTCTTAAGTAGTAATCCTTAAGCTCACACAACCTCTGCGCTGGTTATCAGCAAAACAAAATCTGTGCATTATCTTACTGGCCAAAATATTTAAAGGAATACACTACTGTTTAAAAGTTTGGCCTCAGTAAGATTATTATTATTTTTTTAATAAATTAAGACTTTTACTCCGCAACAATGCATTAATTGATCTGAAGTGACAGTGAAGACTTTTGTAATGTTAAAAAAAAATGTGTATTTCAAATAAATTCTGTTTTTATATATTTTTTTACATTTTTTGGAACTTACTATATTCATCAGTAAATTCTAAAAAAAAAAAACAAGCACACGCAGCACAACCGTTTTCAACTGTGAAAAATAACACTTCAGTGGTGCTGTAGTAAAAATAGAGAATTATCATTTCATATATCATTATTTTGTTCAAAGTTTGAATTTCTTCAATATTTTTAGACATGTTTCTATAGTGAAAGCATATTGTGGCTAGTAGCTATCATGTCAAAAAAATAGCAATTTATGACATTGTTTCTACTGTGCAACTCAAAATGAGAAAAAATAGATCATATTCTCACACAAAACTGTCTTGGAATATAGTATATGACGTAGAATTCTTTTAGGACATTTTATTGTTATTTTTTTTAAATATGATGTTTTATAAACCGTATGTTTTCATCGTATGGAAAAGAGCAGCATGAACATGCTGCTGAATTTCTCTTTTTGAGTTCCACAGTAGAATGAACCTCAAACAGGTGTTGAAACTTTCCAGTTCTCTGGAGGTTTTTGCAAAATTCTGTTGCCAAAGATTTTGTGCAATGGTCTTTATCTTTTCATCTCATTTCATTTATATTTTAACTGGATTAACTGTTTCTTTTCGATGCATGCGTCTTGATTCTCCTGGGCTGTTGTGGTGATATTAGTTGATACGTTGCAGATAATGTGGTTTGATATGAGATGTGCTTTGGCGCTGAAGCTCCAGCAGCGGTAATGTGTTGGATCAGAACCACTCTCGTGATGACACTGTCCAGGACAGAGAACTCTGACAGCACAATAACCACATACACCAGACGAAAGAGACGGAGCCAAAGAAAGAGTGAAAAACATGAGGCTGGAAAGGAAATAGAGCAGGATCTGCAGACCACATGCCTGTAGAGGTCTCTTTACTTTGAATGTGTTGCAGATTTTCCTGTCTTCACAACATCTTGTCTGTGTGTGTGTGTGTGTGTGTGTGTGTGTGTGTGTGTGTGTGTGTGTAGGTAGGGATGTAGGAGGTGATTCATTAATAATGAACTTGGCCCAACATTTCAATACACACTTGCTTGAAGGTCTCAGAATATCAGTAAATTGTTGTTATTGATATAAGATGGATTAACATTGCAAACTTTCAAACTTTAAGCTTTTAAAACTATTTCAGACTGAAAACCATCAAACTTAAAACTTTTTAATTTTTCAAACTTTCTGGTCCGGCTTGACAAACTTTTTTTTATCTAGTTTTATATTATTATTTTTAAGGAAATGTCTCCTTTGTTGTTATCTAAATGTACGGTGGTTCTTTCTGAAGACTGCTGAATAACTCAATGTAGAAAATGTCTTTTTGCACTCTCTGCAGCCATTTCTTTTCAGGAATATAATATCGGTCTTTAGAACAATCCTAAGGAAAAGGAAACAAATGTTTTGGGAACACAACATATTCTTAACTTTAATCTTAAAAGAAAAATGAAGAAGAATTTTGTTCTGAAGAATGTCTTGTGAATCCAGCCTCAATACTTTCTGACACCCCTAGATTTGCACACAGCGTCTCACTAAAGGTATTACACAATAGAGCTGTTCAGTCGGGATACCAGTATGTAGAGCGACCCGACAGGCTAATTTACCGTGGCTTCTCTCTGGAATTTCCCATAAGTTTTCAATAGTGGTTTTCAATTGTGGCAACATTTTGACATTTGTGTATCGTAAATTACACACAGAAATACCTCATATGTAAATGTGAAAGCTTTTTTTATATGCAAGGGACATCAGTGGTCGGCTGATTTGTCATGCAACGTGCTTCTGTTAGCAAATTGTGTTTTAGAGAAAGTAGATGAAGAGGGAAAACTGCTGATTGGCGGCTTGCTTATGAAGCTGAGACAGAAGTATTGTAACAGAAATTTAGAAACATTACATGCAGAAAATAATGTTTTTCAACTGTTTAGTGAATATTTTATATATTATATTTAGTGTATGTGACCCTGGGCAACAAAAGCAGTGTTAAGTCGCTGGGGTATATTTGTAGCAATAGCCAACAATACATTGTATGGGTCACAATTATCGATTTTTCTTTTATGCCAAAAATCATTAGGATATTAAGTAAAGATCATGTTCCATGAATATATTTTGTACATTTCCTACCGTAAATATATCAAAACTTAATTTTTGATTAGTAATATGCATTGCTAAGAACTTCATTTGGACAACTTTAAAGATGATTTTCTCAATATTTAGATTTTTTTGCACCCTCAGATTCCAGATTTTCAAATAGTTGTATCTCGGCCAAATATTGTCCTAACAAACCATCAATGGAAAGCTTATTTATTCAGCTTTCAGATGATGTATAAATCTAAATTTCAAGAAATTGACCCTTATGACTGGTTTTGTGGTCCAGGGTCACATATGTGTTTGAATGCTAAATCTGTATGTGTTCTATGTGTGTGTATGCGCTTTCTTTTCAATTCATGTTTCGCGAGTCTTGGTTCGGTGCCAAAGCCTCTCAGCAACCTTACAGACTCGATTATTGTTCACGGCTCTTTTATTTCTCCTCTCTTTCTCTCGCTGTGTTTTTATGCATGAAGTTTAGCTGTGATGTAATCAGATTTGCCCTGGGGTTTCTGTTCAATGGCAGCTTTTGGATGGGATCGGGTGAGCTGCTTTGCATCTTATTTTCTCCTGCGCCGTACTGACACCTGTGTGTTTTCTCCCAACACTTTTGCCGTGTGTGTAGAAAAACCAGCGTGAGCTGACTAAGATGCAGAAATGTTTGAGGCCAGAGGAGTTGGCGTCCCACATCAGCCAGATGGACACGAGACTGCAACACGAGGAGCTGGAGAAAAGCTACCAGGATGTGCTGGCGGAGTATCGCAGAGTCCTGGAGCGACTGGCTCAGGCGTGAACACACGGAGACTTCTGCTGGAAAGATCTGGAAAAGACTGGCCCACACACACACACGCACACACACTGTTCTATTGCATTGTATCCAGTGTTAATAAGGGTTTAAACCTGACACATCTGCATTTGTTACTTGTGTGATAGACAAGACGATGGGCAGTTATTCACGTAATTAGAGATGAGTGCATTGGTCTACTGTGAAGATGAAGATTTTTGAGTTGATATTGTTATTGGTTTTTCCATCAAACATTTTCCTTAAAATGTAAAAATGTAGATTTTGAAGCACTTCCTATGAAAAACAAATAAAATGTTTTGTATATTGCTCAAATGTATCTCTTTGGTGATGTGTCTAAAATAAAAAAAAATCTTAATTTTACTTATCAGACTGTAACTCTGCACTGTTTGATGTTACGGTGTTTAAAACTTACATAATACATTATGTGTTTGAAATACACAGCTAAAAGTTTGGGGTAAGTTTTTTGGTAACACTTTATTTTAAGGTGTCCTTGTTACACGTTATATGTAATTACTATTATAATAACTAATTATGCATAATTATATGCAAGTAACCCTAAGCAAAATCCTAACCCTAACCATATAGTGACTCAGTACTTAAATGTATAATTACACTGTAACAAGAACACCTTAAAACCGTTTTTTTTAAAGAAATGAATGCTTTTATTCAGAAAAGATGCATTAAACTGATCAAAATTGACAGTAAAAATTATTTTTGTCAAGATTTTTTATTTCAAAATAAATGCTCTTCTTTTGAACTTTCTATTTCAAGAAATTAAATTCTTATTTATTTATGGTTTTTACACTTTGGTTTCATAAGAAAAGCTTGTTGAAGGTTACTTCATTTGTGGACTCTAAACCCAATGGTCAAATTCCAGAATAGAGGTAGACAAGGGCATCTGAAACTGCCAAGTGCAGTAATGTCAAGACAGTCACTGATCTATGGGCTGAGATCTGATAGTCTTCATCTGTGAGCTGAACTGTTTTACTGTTACATCCATGAGATGATGTAAATTCAGATGAATGTCATGTCACAGGATGTCGAAGATTAGCTGGCGATACACTGAGATTTAGCTGACAGTACTGCACAATGATACAGAATTGAAACCTCTGATCATTCACTCATTTCAAGTCAATTCAATTTGCAAGCAGAAATGTGCTGTAAAATTTGCTCCCTCCCTTTTGCAGCTAATGCATCTTCTGATTGCGTTTAGCATTGAGTGCTTCACTAATGACCGTAAATCTGAAGCCCTTCCTGTCGCCACACCGACCACTCACACTGATTCCATGGATGAATTACCATCTCTTCCCTTTTACTCTACACAGTTAAAAAATTAAGGTCTGGAGGTTAATTTTCATTTGTCATCCTCTTCAAATGCGAGAAGTTGAGCACAGAACTCTTGACCATGTCAGATATTAATTGTATCCTCTCATGTTCCTCTGGCTCCTGAGTTCTTATCAAGGCCTCTCGTCTAAATCCAAATAGAGAGGAATAATTAATTTGGCTGGAGTATCTGGAGTGTTAAAGAGGATTTCCATTGTAGGATGGAAAGATTTTGACAGTAGATATTGTGGTGGAACTCATAATGATGCTCCTCCTTTGGGATTTTGAGAAAGATTAGACCCAGATAACGGCTAACCCTTGTATCTCAAGTGTTCTGAAGACATTTCATTGCTTTTCAGCTGGTGACCAGATTAAATAACAAATTAAAATGATATACACTCTTAAAAATAAAGGTTCTTTATTGGCATCTATAGTTCAATTAATCTTTAACATACATGGAACCTTTCTATTCTTTATAGACCTTATGCTTCAGAGAAACAAACGCGCCGCCATCTTTAGAATTCTGTCTTTGAACTTCCGTTTTTGCGGTAGTTCGGGTGCATCACTGTTGAAGAAGTGGGTTTATTTATTGTAGTTAACGAAAGTTATGTGCATTGTAATGTTTAAAGCAGATGTCATAAGAAATTAGACAATTTTAAAATAAGCGGTTCATTCATAAATTAGCATGACTTCACTCTGTGGAAATACAAACGGAAGACAAGCACAGCGCTGAAAATGGGTGGAGCTACATAAGATCTGTAGAGATAAAACAGAAGTTCAAAGACAGAATTCTAAAGTTGGCTGCACGCTTGTTTCTCTGGGGCCTAAGGTATAGTAGAAAATACGGTGGGCCAGTAGTGTGCAACCCAACGAAATCTCCACAACACAATGGAAACAAGTCGTAATCATGGTACAACAGTAATACCCATTTTCTCAAGAAAGAAACTCGTAATCCTGAGCGCAAATGGAGAAAAACTAACTTGGAAGTTTTTAGAATTGCATGGAAAAACAGTATGTCCAGCTATAGACAGGCTCTAAAAGCTGCCAGGGCCGAGCATATCCACAAACTCATAGAAAATAACCGAAACAATCCAAGGTTTTTATTTAGCACAGTGGCTAGATTAACAAATAACCAGACGCCACCCGATCTAAATATTCCCTCACAGTTTAATAGTAATGACTTTACGAATTTCTTCACTGATAAAATAGATAACATCAGAAATACAATAACAAATGTAGATTCTACAGCATCTAATACTTCAGCTTCATTCATCGCACCAAAAGATAAACTGCAGTGCTTTACAGCTATAGGAAAGAAAGAGCTAAATAAACTTATCACTGCATCTAAACCAACAACATGCCTATTAGATCCTGTACCCACTAAATTACTGAAAGAGTTGTTACCTGTAGCACAAGAACCGCTTCTCAATATTATTAACTCGTCGTTGTCTTTAGGTCACGTCCCAAAAACATTCAAGCTGGCGGTCATTAAGCCTCTTATTAAGAAACCACAACTAGATCCTAGTGAACTGGCAAATTACAGACCAATTTAAAATCTTCAGTTTATGTCCAAAAGTTGTCTGCTCAACTGTGCTCCTTCCTCCCAAAAAAAGATCTCTATGAAGAATTTCAGTCAGGTTTCAGGCCCCACCATAGCACAGAAACTGCACTTGTTAAAATTACAAATTACTTGCTTCTTGTGTCAGACCAAGGCTGTATCTCATTGCTAGTTTTACTTGATCGTTCAATACCATAGATCATGACACTCATAGATTGATTACAAAACTATACGGGTATTCAAGGGCACGCTTTAAGATGGTTTAGATCCTACCTGTCCGATCGCTACCACTTTGTTTATTTAAACAGGGAGTCATCTCAATTATCACCAGTAAAATATGGAGTGCCACAAGGATCTGTCCTAGGTCCTCTGCTATTTGCAGTATACATGTTGTCCCTTGGTAATATTATTAGAAAATATGGGATTAGTTTCCACTGTTATGGTGATGATACTCAACTATATATCTCAACAAGACCAGATGAAACTTCTAAATTATCTAAGCTAACAGAGTGTGTTAAAAATGTCAAAGATTGGATGACCAATAATTTTCTCCTATTAAATTCAGATAAGACAGAGATATTACTAATTGGACCAAAAAAACAGTACACAGAATCTCTTGGATTACAATTTGCAACTAGACAGATGTACTGTTACTTCCTCTACAGTCAAAAACCTGGGTGTTATATTAGACAGCAACTTGTCTTTTGAAAATCATACTTCCCATGCTACAAAAACAGCATTCTTCCATCTTAAAAACATTGCCAAGTTACGAAACATGTTACCTGTTTCTGATGCAGAAAAGCTAGTTCATGCATTCATGACCTCTAGACTGGACTATTGTAATGCACTGCTAGGTGGTTATCCTCAATAAACAAGCTACAGGTAGTCCAAAATGCAGCTGCTAGTGTCCTTACCAGGTCAAGAAAATATGATCATCACTCTGGACTTTTAGTAGTACCTAGGATAGCAAAGTCCACTAAAGGAGGAAGAGCTTTTTCACATTTGGCACCCAAACTCTGGAATAGCCTTCCTGATAACGTTCGGGGTTCAGACACACTCTCTCTGTTTAAATCTAGATTAAAGACACATCTCTTTGGCCAAGCATTCAAATAATGCATCTCATAATCTTTTACTGCAGCTTTAATTGATTTCTCTGTACATTTCTGCCATATGTACATTAACTGACATAGTCACCACTGATTTTCTGTAAAGCTGCTTTGCAACAATTTGTATTGTGAGAATCGCGATATACAAATAAACTTGAATTGAATTGAATTGAATTGAATCGTAACACAACGGAAACAAGCCGCAACACAACGGAAACAAGCTGCAACACAATGGAAACAAGCTGCAAAACAATGGAAACAAGTCACAACACAACGAAGACAAGCCGCAATGCAACGGAATCAAGCTGCAACATAACGGAAACAAGACACAACACAACGGACACAAGCCGCAACACAACGGACACAAGCTGCAACACAACAGAAACAAGTCACAACACAACGGAAACAAGGCACAACACAGAAACAATGCTGTTTGATTATTTCTTTAATTGATTTCTCTGTACATTTCTGCCATATGTACATTAACTGACATAGTCACCACTGATTTTCTGTAAAGCTGCTTTGCAACAATTTGTATTGTGAGAATCGCGATATACAAATAAACTTGAATTGAATTGAATTGAATTGAATCGTAACACAACGGAAACAAGCCGCAACACAACGGAAACAAGCTGCAACACAACAGATACAAGTCACAACACAACGGAAACAAGGCACAACACAGAAACAATGCAAAACGAAATTAGCACAACACAACGGAAACAAGCCGCAACACAACGGAAACAAGCAGC